TTATAGTTTTATCTCAGAACACGAGCTGGTGCCTACGCTGGAGAGTGGGACGACGCCTCCTCGCTCGTCCTCTCCGGCGTCGTCCGTTCGAGGAGCCGTGCACAGCTCACGATTCACGATTTACTTTGTGTGCAGCATTACCTCGTTATACACGAACTTCTGTGAATCCGCGATTTTGGCCCCCGCGCGAATCGCATCTGGAACCTGACTGCATCACGAGAGAGAGAAGGAGAGAAAATTACGAGAGAGAATGTGATGCGAGAAAGTGGTAAGATAATGCGATGATAAATAAAGTGATGAGAGATAAAGTGCCGAGAGGTAAAGTGATGAGAGAGAATGCGATGAGAGAGTGAGGAGGGATACAGTGATAAGAGAGAAAGTGATGAGAGACAAAGTAATGAGAGACAGGGATGAGGGATAAAGTGACGAGAGATGAAGTATTCACGAGCATTTCTAGAACGTATCTCTCGCGAATAACGGGGGAACACTTTAAAATAAAAATCCTACAATTTTATTGCAGATTGTGTTCTCGACACTATGCAATTAACAAAGATGGTCACCGCATCGCACGCTTTTCAGATGTGCTTCTGCGCCCATATATTAGGAAGCCACTGGAGCTATGCCCCTTCAAATCAAGATTAAAAATACATTTCTTTAAAATGTATTTCTATGGAACTGCTTTATGTCTTTAGGTTGTTGTCCTAACCCCCGCACCTCTGATTAGCACGGTTGGCTACGTATGGTGCCAAAGAAGTTAAACGTACACAAACACATTCCTGCGGAGGGAGCTGGTAGGAACGTTGGGTTGCTCGGTCAATGGCCTGCAGGGTCAACGGCGGCGTGGTGTATTCCGCAAATATGGCCGACTGTGAGGGCGGGCACAAGCCGGAGTGAGTAGGTTAAACGTTGAGTTTTATAAGGGCACCACGGGGTGACCAGCCCCTCCCCACCCAGCCCCACCCCTCCCACCCAGCCCCTCCCCACCCTCCCCACCCAGCCCCTCCCCACCCTCCCGACCCAGCCCCTCCCCACCCTCCCCACCCAGCCCCTCCCCACCCTCCCCACCCAGCTCCTCCCCATCCTCCCCACCCAGCCCCTCCCCACCCAGCCCCTCTCCACCCAGCCCGACCCCTCCCATTTTTGGATGCACGACGGACGGACACAATAATCCCCTGTGGGCTGGTGAAACCAGGTGGTTCCTACCAGTAATACATACATGCTGGATCACACCACGGTGATGAGCAGTGCAACAGCCCTTCATGTTGGAGAACACCCACACGGAAGCGGATATCGCAGAGATACTTCTTGAGATTCCTTAAAGTCACCGCTGGTGCACAGACACAGGCCGTAGAGAGCAGCATTTGTCTCCACTCGCACTAATGAGATTGATATTCGTTGAATTAATTTTGACAAAGTGGTAAATTTAATTTAAAGTGGGGGGCTTTTTTGTGCAGTCATTGGTGATTTCACGTTAACAAGCGTCTTACTACAGGAGTGGAAGCAGCCTTTACGAGGCCCACCGTTGTTGAGTGAGAAATCACAAGGAATGCTCTCATCAACGTGACTGAACATCGATCGTCGGTCTCCCGGTTTCCAGAGCAACAACGCAAGCCATGCTAACAGCGTTCGTTAGGGCCGAACAATGCGCCAGATAGGCCCTCGGACAAGGATCCCCCTACTGAACATTGAGGGACTCTCCCGGGTTAAGTGCGAGTACCTGGTGAACATAATGAACAAACGTAACACCGATGTCCTGACACTCCAAGAAAACCCACGTCTTGGATGCCCTATATGCCAGTCACTACCACGTCCATGAATACAACTTCATCAAGAACCATTATCACCCGAAATATGGTTTGGCCATATATATGAAGAACACCATCACAGAGTTCGACGCCTTCCCACCAACTGAAAAAGAAGCCACCTACACCACCAGCATCAAGACAGGGGAACTGCACATTACCAACGTGTACAAAGCCCGGAATTCAAAATGGCCAAAGTCAGCTCTCCCAAGTGCACCAATCCCAGCCCTCTATCTTGGTGTATTTAATAGCCACGATACTATGTGGGGCTATGCAGTAAAGCAGGCCGACGGTGAAGGCCTCACCGACCAGAACTCCACCGAAGATCCGCACCTGGTTTTCGATCCCAAGCAGCGACCGACTTTCCATTCCGCTCGCTGGCAACACGACTATAACCCGGGCCTCACCATCATTTCCAAAGATCAAAGTGGGGGTACAATTCAAGCTTTTCCGAACATCAACATAGACCCAGACCCATCACCACCCACATCGCTATTGAAACACCCGTGATTGTGTCAAAACGATTACCAAGGTGAAATCTGGTCAAAGCTGACTGGCAGCCACTAAAAGGAGGCTGTAGAGCAAGTGGTGAGACGAATTTCTGCCACGCCAAAATGCTATCACAGTTTTGTTGTCCTCCTTAATGCATCCGCCATGAAGAGCATCCCCTGAGGCTTCCGGAAAAAAACCATTCCCTGCTGGACAGAAGAGACCCATGACCTGCTCTGACAGTACAAATGGTCGGGCAGCCCACAGGTTTGAAAGGCCCTGTGAGTGCCAGTAGACTCAGCCAGACACCAACGGCGGATTGAGCGCGTTGAAGGCCATGGACTTCACACACTCCAGCCACCGTGCCTGGGCCCTACTACGATGCCTGGGTGCTGCTGATCCAAGCCAGTAGAGATGGGATCCCCCCAGAATTGCTCCCCCTAGGAGACTCCAATAGATGGCAAAACTGTACATCAAAACCAGTGGTGGCTCCTGCAAAATCTCTCAGGGGGGGCAAATGTCTGGATGATTGATAAGGATAAGGTACACGCATGCAATGAATAAATTAACAGCTTAAGCATGTAAAGGCAACTTCACTTCTTTAATATTAATGAAAAATAAAGTGACTCTTACAATACATCTTGTTTGTTTATATACTCACTATTAAAACAAACCACTCAAGTTTATTTTATTAAAGATTCTACTAGGTGGCGATAAATTATATTGTTGGATGAAACGTGCTTACGTATGATGACGTTAGCACGTATGATGACGTAAGCACGTTAGGGCGAGCCCTCCCGGAAGCCATAGAGAATGCATCGGAGCGCCCCCGTTCGAAAAAAAACATCTTTGAATGTAAGTCTATGGGGCCACTCGGGGCGATTCTCAGCCGGAGTGAAATCGCCCCAAAAGAGGCGGTACTCCACAGAACGTGACATGACGCTGATTGGACTATATCCAGAGGCTGACAGTGACGGCTAGCGTGACTCTGTGGTTCAATGACATTGGTGGTGCGTCGCCCAATCGCCCTAATGAAGAAACCGCCCCTGATCAAAACCATGAAGACCGGATGCATCCCAAAAGCATGGCGGGAGGCGATGGTCATTGTCATACCCACGGCGGGAAAGCCAACCGACGACCTTGGAGGCTATAGGCTGACAGCACTCCTGTGCACGACCTGTACACTCCTGGAACGCATCATCATCCTCCAGAGAATCATCCCCCTCGTCGAGTCGGTGATCCCTGAAGAACAAGCGGGATTCCAGCCCAGGCACTTTTCAGAGCTGGGACTGACTGACTTGTGTAAAAATAGATTTCTTTGTACAGATATTATTTCATTTGAGACTTAACCCAGAACAGTTTGTAAATCTACAGCTACGCCTACACGGGTAAGTGCTGTAGCCTTGGGGCTACATTCCATGACGTATTTCGTGGTATTTAAAGCTGCAATCGAAGTCACTTTGTTTCCTTGTTCATTGCCACCGTGAGCCATGGTGATGGTGGTGATTAATTGATTGTTACTGGTGGATGATGATGACGATCATGATTATGATGACCACAACCCACACCCCCACTAACTGCCCTATCGGACACCTGCCAATCACTCACCACGACCTACTGACCCATTTTCAGAGCCGACCTACCCACCTGATCTCACTCCTGATCACCCTCCAGCCCGACCACCTGCCCACCCCCCCGTATCCGGCCACTTAACCGCCCTCCTGCACTCAGACCAGCTCCCTCACCCACCCACCAACCGGCCCATCACCCACCCACCCAGCCAATCACCCACCCACTAAGTCAAACACCCACCCACCCAGCCAAACACCCACCCAGCCAAACACCCACCCACCCACCCAGCCAAACACCCACCCAGCCAAACACCCACCCACTAAGTCAATCACCCACCCACTAAGTCAATCACCCACCCACCCAGCCAAACACCCACCCACCCACTAAGTCAATCACCCACCCACCCAGCCAAACACCCACCCACTAAGTCAAACACCCACCCACCCAGCCAAACACCCACCCACCCACTAAGTCAATCACCCACCCACCCACCCAGCCAAACACCCACCCACCCACTAAGTCAATCACCCACCCACCCAGCCAAACACCCACCCACCCACTAAGTCAATCACCCACCCACCCGGCCAATCATCCGCCCACCTGACCACCTGTCCATCAAATCCAGGCGACCACCAACCACCAGGACTTAAAATATTTAGCGATTCACACGTGCAGTGGAGAGACCACGAGACAAAAAATGAATGGATGTTAGTTGACAGAGACAATTCAAAATTCTGATACTTATACACACATTTTGAAAGACAAGTACAATGACACAAGAAATAGTCTTTCACCTTGAAAGTCGGTATTTTTTACAAAGGTGTGGTTTGCTGTCCAAACACACAGCCTCACCCGAGCCGGTACAACCAGTTCATGGGATAAACCATCACTGTTTCCATGGTTACCGTGGGTTTTTTTGGACAGATACAGGTGGAACATTCTAAAGGCGCGTCTCGAGGTATGTATAACTTAACTGCAGGTGAAGTCATTTATTATTTTCGTTCATCGCTGCTGTGTGAGCTCCTCAACCAGGATCTCCTGAAAACCCCTGCCAATGATTATCAACATCTCACGAGATTATAAACAGAAAGTATTTTATTGAAATATATTTTTCCCGAGCCACAGGGAGCGAGTACTTTGAGTGCATCCTCGGGTCATGGCGAGCGCAGCTCCAGCTGAGAACGTGGACCATGAGTTGAGCTGCTCCATCTGCCTGGACACGTTTGACTGCCCCTCCACACTCAGCTGCGGCCACTCGTTCTGCCTCCAGTGCCTGGAGGACGCCTGGAAGGAGACAGACTCCTACTGCTGCCCGCAGTGCCGCAAGACCTTCCCTCGACGACCCCAGCTGACCAGGAACGTGACGATCGCCAACCTCATAGAGCAGCTGCGAGTGACTGAGACCATGGCTGCTGCTGCTGCTGGTGTTGTTTTCTGTGACCACTGCCCAGAAGGCAAGACGCCTGCAGTGAAGACCTGCCTCAAGTGTGAGATGTCCTTCTGCACGGAGCACCTCGCGCCTCACCTGGAGAGGGTGAAGTTGAAGGACCACGTCCTGGTGGCTCCGATTGCGAACCTGGAGCAAAGAAGATGCATGAAACATAAACAGGAGCTCATGTTCTACTGCAAGCAGGACGTGAGCCTCGTGTGCATGGCCTGCACCATCACCGGAGAACATAGAGGGCATGATGTCGACACGCTGGAAGATGAGCACGAAACACGAAAGGTGGGTTGAATGAGAGCTGATCAGGACCGAACGATATCGTAACCTGAGCTGATAAAGTGCAACAACAACATCTCATTGAATCAAAACCATCATGGATGGGATTATTCTCTCTCCACCTTCGGTTTTTTATTTCAGGCAAACTCCCTTAGCCTCTTTTTTTGGTGGGCAATTATAGAGCCATCACTGTGGAGGGCTCCGTGTGGAGTGGGGCTGAGAGGGAGCCGCCCAGGGAGTGGAGTCTCATCTGGTGACTTCGTCTCTTACAGAGTGGAGTCGGAGAGGAGATGCGAGCGGTGGAAGAGAAGAGGAGGGAGGCGGAGGCGTCCGTTGAACGGATGGAGGCCGCTCGCAAGGACGTGCAGGTACCACGCGTGGACTCTGTGACTCTCTCCCTATGAGCACAACTCCGTAGATTCAAGTGAACTCCGAGTCATGAGTCAGTGTGTAATTACTGTGCAGAATCATTACATTATAATGGCTGTGGGTGCTTGAGATGTAAATAAGAAAATGCTACTTTTATAACAGAGGTTTGTTATCTAGCACCACAGCAAACATTGAATAAAATAACTTAACTGATTTTCTGTGGTTAAGAAAACAAAAGTGCATAGAGCAACGACTATATTTTAAAACTAACAATCCAGAAAATCAGTTAAGGATTTCGGTACAATATGATGGGAAATCGTAGCTATTGCATTCTCAGAAAAACCATGCAAGATGTGACTTGAAGAGACATTCCAGGAATACAGAAAAATATTTTTCTTTTCATGAAACACACAACTATACTGCAATTGCCAGATAGAAGGGTAAAGAACCAATTATCATATTTTTGCTGGCAAATGAGGTTCCCATAGTATACTGCAATCAATAAGCAACGCGTTTTCTTAAAACCTGTTTTAATTGCACTGTAGTTACCATTCATTACTAAATATTGTTGATTGAGTTTTAATGTCATATTTATTTTTTTGGTAAGGATAATTCTGTAATTTCATCTGCTTTTGAGATTTATGCAAGGCAATGGCTCTGAGCTGGTGTTATCAATTGCATGGTTTTCCATTGTAGCCAAATATATGACACACGAGGGCATATCCTCATGTAGAAAACTAGACGCCTTTTAACAGTGATGCTTGCGATGGAGACTTCGCATTCACTCTGCGAGCTGATTTCAAATACCGAAGTCCATCGATGAACAGCACGACAGTCGCTGTCTGAAGCAGTCAGAGCCAGGAGGATCTTGCTCTGTGGATACATTGCATGGGTCGATACGTTGGCTGATCGCACCGGAGCTCTCCGTGCAACCATTTGTAATGCGAGCGTAAATGGGGTTCGCTGCTGGGCTCTGGCCCAATCATACGGCCCGGGGTATTGGGGGGCGGAGTCCAGCATGGGGGTATATGGGAGGGCCCGCCGTTCACCTCGGGTCCAATCGGAAGCGAGGTGAACGGGGGTGGAGCCAGCAGGGCGCTATGGGAAGGCCGGATCTGACGGTCCGGAAGGGGAGGAGACAGGATCACGTGGTAAAGGGGATACAGGTGGGAGCCCGGAAGGGCTCCGGGTCAGTTGTTGGAGTGAAGAAGCTGGACCACGTTGGGTGTTGCCAGAGGGGATCCGCGACATCAGCCACGTGGCTGGAGGAGCTTCGGCGCGGAGTTGGGGAGCGGAAGGACTGACGAGGGAGCGCGTGCGGGGCGCGCGTGAGGAGACGCTGGTCCGCTGTCAGGACCAGCGGGGTGCGAGCAAGAAGCTAAATATAGACCAACGGAGACCAGCAGTGTGTGACGAAGTCCTTTATTACACATTGATGACCTTCCTCGGGATTGGAGGTGGCCCAGGGTCAGGCCGAGGCTGACCTGGACGCGCATGATCGAGGCCTAACTCAAGCATAGTAATCTAGGCTGCCAATACTCTGCGTGGCGTGGAACCCAGTACAGCATTGCTTGGCGATGTATCATGAGCACCGCTACACCATGCGCTGCTAATAATTGACTAGGTTGTTGGGGGGCGCCTGGGTGAGTCCCTCAATGTTCAGTTGGAGGATCCTTGTCCCAGGGCTTATCTGGCACATTGTTTGGCCCTGAACATGACCTTTGGTATGGTTTTTATTGTCGCACTGAAAACTGGGAGTTTGATGATTCATGTTAGGGCGCTTTCATAGTGATTTCTCGCTGAACAGAGTGGGCCACGTCAATGCTGCCCACTTCCACTTCAGTATAACATCGAGGTCTTGCCACAACTGTTCGTTGAGCAGATTGTTTAACCATACTTTACCATTTCGGTCCATGTGGGTTGGTGAAGACAACCCAGCATGCATTCATATATGACTCCCCACACAATTTGATGACCACTAAAACACCGCTACCTGGTGATAGGGCATGAATATGAATTCACAGCATCCATCACACCCCTCCTTGCAGGATTCCATAGTCCAGACCAAGGCTCGCATCTCAGACGAGTTCACCTGCATGAGGGCGACGCTGGATGAGGATGAGAGGGTTGCTCTGGATCGCGTGGACGTGAAGGGGCGTGCGCTGCTGTCCTGGATCGAGAAGAACATCGCTCATTACGAGCGCGAGATCAGCGAGCTCCAGGCAGCAGCCACGCGCCTGCGCGCTCTGCAGGAGGAGAGGGACTCGCTCACGTTCCTGCAGGTAAAGCGCTCAAGGAGCCAGGCAAGTGCCCCAGTTTGCGTGTTCATTACATTTGCAAACGTGGCACATGCGATGCAACACAAAGTTCAGAATATTGCAACTTACATTATAAATAAAATATAATAAAAAAAATTACTGCTGAATTTACGAAGAAAAAAATAAACGACGAACTCAAAAATCCCACGAGTTACTGGTTGGTAATTTGTGGTTGGAAATGTATGCAAAAAATGTAACCACGTGGTCTTGCAATGTACAGATTTAGGCTACTTGACACTACATTTAAATGTCGATTTAAAGCTTTTGTGACTGCTGGGATTCATCTTTTTGGTTCTTTCGGTAAAGTCACGTAGACAGGTAAGTAATAAAATAATAAAAATAAAACATAATAAAATAATTATCACGACGTTTCGGCCACAACACCTGAGGACGGATGCTTGCGTTGTGGCCGAAACATCGTGAGAATGATTTTATTATGTTTTAGTTTTATTATTTTCTATTTCCCTTCTATGTGACTTTACCGATAGAACCAAGAAGATACATTTAAATGATTCATGTAACCAAATGTAGACGAACCAATGGTAATTCTGAAAACGGAAGGGCTTTTAACATCAGGAAAGACAGGGATATTAGTATTTCAGAATTGACTGCTGATGAGTCTTAGAAAGTTGAAACCAATCCAAAGATTGCCTGTTTCAACAAATGTTCACCCTGATAAACTATCGACACTAGTAGCGCGGCGCTCTGGAATTAAATCACCTTTGCAGTGGAAATATTTGTATATTTTTGCATGTTGGTTAATTTCATTGTAACTCGATGTTGAGTGCCATGGACGCCTCTTGCCGTGACATCGGGTACTGAGTGGCAACGGGTTACGAGGCCACACCTTGCTGATGAGGACCATGGAGTCCAAACGAGTCCACGGCTTTGTCTTGTTTACAACCAACAACACTGGGATACGCGAATGGCTGAGCGCAGTCCAGCTCATCGCGTCTACCAGTCACCGCGTCGTTAACGTGACTGACTCGCGCCTCCTGTGTCTGACTCCTGCAGGTTCACCTGAAGGAGACAAACAGGTAAGGGACTCATCATGAACTCACACAGATGAACACACGAGGTGACGCCATGTGTGGGACGTGGGCCGCGTGATGGTGAGGATGCTGTATCATGATAGTCATACCTCGGTTTACGAAATCGATGCATTGCGTGACATCACTTCGTTCTCGGAAACTTCGTTACCAGATTTCGATTTAAAGCTTTCGTGACTGCAGGGATTCATCTCCTTGGTTCTTTCGGTAAAGTCACGTAGAAGGGAAGTAATAATTTTATTATATTATTTTATTTCGTTACCAGAGTTAGATACGAACAGGGGAGGGTTAGGGAGATGCGTTCCAGAACTTCAGAGAAGGCGGGAGAGGTGGGGGATATTAAAGGACAAAATGGCTCCACAGTAGCCTTCACTTTGTCCGCTTGGTTTAAAGTGTTCTTATAAGATTAACTCTGCTAACCCCGAATGAACACGCAACTTCACTGTTCATCTCTCCCACTTCTACTCGTCTCGTGATCTGCATGTTTTGTTTCCAAAGAAATTGATTCACACTGCACGCTTTTTCCCAGTAAGCCTTCAAGCACTCACTCGGTATATTGTTTAGATGACTTCAAGGGGGTAGCAAAATAATTTTTCACTGCAAAAAAAGCCCCATGATACATTGATTTTTTTTACCAACAAGAGGAGCTTGAGCAATGGAGGCCAGGAGAGGGAGACTCACAAAGCGCTTCGCTGATTGGCTGCTGCTAATGTAGAGCAAACAAACTCCACTCGGTCGTGCTCACAGGGTAGGGGTGAAAAGTTAAATGCCTTACTCTTTTGGATCGCTTTGCATAATTTCTGAAGATATACATTTATTATTTTTGCAAATACAGTCCGTTCTCCTATAATGCGTAGTTTTCACAGCTCGAATTGGATATAACGCGATGAATGTATTCGGGTACTAATTTTTGATAACGCGAATTGGATATACCACAATCCAGTGAACAGAACTCGGTCAAGCGAGTAGGAATAAGTGGTTGTACGGCTGCCTCAGCGTAGCATCACGCAAGGCACTGGGATGCTTCTAGATGATACCCGTGCACCTCAGCCTTTGTCCAGGCCTGTGTACGCATCTCATGTGTTATCGCGGACTGTGCTTTACATCTATATTATATATAATTTAGTATAACGCAGGTTTTCCATAACACGGTGTTCTTCAGGAACGCAACGACTACCGCCACATTATAGGAGAACGTGACTCTGGTGTGACTTTCATCCGATACAAACTGCTGTCAGCGTTCACTATAGTGTTTTTGGTTAGCCAGGTCACTCGTGCGTTGAGTGTGGGTAAAGTCGGGTGAGCGGCGAGGAAACCCTTCATCTGAAGGCGACTCATCAATAGGGTTGTGGTCTGTCTTTAATTTTGGATAAGCCACCTTAACAAGTTTCCACACGGTCGTGCAACTTGTGAACATCAAGTTACTCAAAACGTACAACATACAAACTCGAACATACACTCGCACCTATGTTCTAGCACATTCCCGAACACACTGGGGTGCTGAACTAGTAACAAATTGGCATGTTTTGTTTACGTGACAACCCTTACTAATTTCGGATGGTGGCGGGTTTAACAACACATTTATATTCACGTGATCTAACCCAAATAACCTATTATAAATAATGTTGGTCGCAAAAGCTTACTACGTGTTAAACACACACACTCTTAGATAAGGTAACCTTAGTCACTGCTGGCCATTAAGGCTACTTTGCGTATCCTTTAGGATATGGGGATATTCCCATTATTGACCAAAGCATGACGAGTCCCACAGGATTTCATACTTTTGCGAGTTTACTCTGATTTGTTTGAGCCTGTAGCATTATGCTACCTCACCACAATCACTTTTGAAGATGCAAAAACACAGCAATCACAGATCACCACTTCCCAGCAAGTCACCACAATGATCATGCTCAGCAGTATCTTCTCACAATATTAGCTGCAATGTTTGCACCGGCTCTAGTGGTGACGCTAGAGGCATCCACCTTGCACTCCTCTATAAAGGAGGATAGCTCCCAGAGGCTTCGTCAACCCCGGTATTACTGTACAGTAAGTCCTGGGTTGCGGAAGACCCGACTTGTGGAAATACCACTTTACGGAAATGCTCCCATAAATCATGTAAAAAACAAAATATGCGGAATTTTTGCGTTGGTTACGTAAGCGCAAATAGTGCAGCATAATTTAAAGCTTTTGTGACTGCAGGGATTCATATTCTTGGTTCTTTCGGTAAAGTCACGTAGAAGGGAAATAATAAAATAATCTCACGTCGTGAGAATTTTTATTGTTTTATGTCAATATTATTTCATTATTTCCCTTCTACGTGACTTTACCGAAAGAACCAAGAATATAGTGCAGCGTTGTTGAGGTTGTGGGCGTATAGCGAGGCGCGAGGCGTAAGCCCCGCTTCATGCCTCGCTTCACCAAAACACTGCCTTCACCAAGCCCGAGCTTCACTAGGATTAAGGTAAAGAGGAAGTTTTTGTAGTGTTAGGTATTTTTTTCCTTTGTAGCATTACGTAAATGTTTATTTTCTAGGCTTAGAACTATATTTTTACCATGTTTCTATTGATAGTTTTCTTCATGTTAAGTTTATTTCATGAGTTGTTTAGGGTATGTACTTTATTTAACACAAATACACTTCGATTGCTTCTAGTCTCAGCCAACAGCGATCGGAGAAGTCTAGGTCTAGCCTAATGCACGGCAAATTAACATTCGGAAGTGACTGCTTTTTGTTAACAATTAACATTAAACTGTTTAGTGGCATTCATAACCAATTGGATAGAGTGTATGTTCCATTAGTTTAATTATGGATATTGTTAGCGTAGATATTCGATGAAATTAAATAATTCTTCATTTTAAGTTTTTTTCCACAATAATTAAGTTATTTTTTTGAGGGGGTTGTTCCACCTGATGACAAAAGCTTGTGTTGCCTCCGAAACGTCGTGATTTAGTCACGTAGGTATAAATGAAAGAATCATAGGAAGTGCAGGGCGTATGTACAGCGATACAGGTAGTGAAACAAAATGGACGACAGCACGATGCAGTACTGAGAGGAATCGAACTCGTAATCTGGTAGGGCAGGCACAACTATTACCGGCTATGGATTTTATCTTGATTTCGCGGGAAAATTATTAATTGTCCAACATACGGAAAATTCGCGTTATGGATCATTCTCGAGAACCTAACTCTTCCGTAAGCTGAGGACTGCCTGTATTATGCAAGACACTGGCTGTGTGAAGATGTTGAGTGAGATGCTGGTTGTGTGTTATGATGCTGTGTGTTATGATGTGTGTGAGGATGCTGTGCATGATGATGCTGTGTGTAATGATGCTGTATGTGATACTGCTGTGTTAAGATGATGATGCCGTGTAAGACACTGGCTGTGTGATGACAATGCTATGTGATGCTGTGTAAGGCACTGGCTGTGTGGGTCACTGCTGGTTCTGGTCTCACAGGATAGATACTTGGAAGGGAGCTGCACACTCATTTCCCAGCGAAGAAGACATTGAAACGATCAGCGCCCTGCAGGGAGCTGTGGTCAGACTGCTGGCGTTCATGTGTGAGTTCCACTGACTCTTGCCACGTGTGCGTGTCTGTTATTCTGTATTTGTGCTTGTGTAGTAGGTTCAACGAGACTTGGACGACGTAGTCGGAGGCACACTTATTTATTAACCGTTCCACTCTATACAGGCCAAGGTATATAACACTCGAAGGGGTATTGACCCCTTCACCCGTCTAACAGGGAGATCCCACGATCTCTATCCCGGCTAGCCTACTCCCAGGTCCTCCACTACAGAGCTAGTGGAGGCTAGGTGATCCAGCTCGGGCCAAGCTAGGATCGCGGCACCCTGAGTCCCCAGACCGGCTCTTACAAGAACATCGGCTCTGGGCTCTTGGGTCCACGCCACTGGCTTGCCCTGGTCGGTCCTTAGAAGGACGGCGATCCAGGATAGTCCCAGCGCCTATCTAGCCGGTCTTCCTTCTTCACTGGTTTAAGCTAAACACTGAACCCCGAGCCCACCGGCTCACCACGTTATATAGCAACTCCCCCCTCGAGGAATGGGGCCGTGGGAGATCACAGCGCCGTTTCAGCCCCCCAGGCTAAACGATGCGGACGTGGATATAAGCATCCTTCAGCGTGCGGGCATAACCACCCCTGGTGTGTTTGTTAGCCCTCTCGTAACACCTCTACACTTGTACATGTATGGGTCTTTGCAATTGCGAGAGTGGAGAAGTTTACAAACTTGGGCAGTGTGCCTATTTTGGCAGCGCTGGTCTCACTCCAAAGCGGTATTATCTTTTCATAAGCTGTGTATTGCTGTGTGTAAGCCACCTGGTCTGTCGCTCCACATGAAGCTTTGGGTCTTCTCAGTCACAGTTATGCCCTCCCTTCTCTATGTTTGTGAAACGTGGAGCCCTTTAAATCAATATCTGTGCCGGTTTGAACATTCAGGCTGGCCTGCCTACGATCCATGCTGGGTTTAACCAGACTAGATTGTGTGAGTTTACAGATCGTTGAAGATCTGGACACAGTCCCATCAGTGAGCTCTTCCGGCAAGCAAGGCTGCACTGGCTGGGTCATATCGCCTACATGCCCAGTCAAAGCATGCCCAAATAGCTTTTCTACAGCTGGGTAGATGAGCCGAAACGGGCACAACAATGGAGGGCAGAGGAGTGATGCTCACAACAACGAGTGGAGCGCCAGGTAGCTAAAACGCAGAAAATTGGCCCAATGGGGAGCATAGTTGGTGCACCTCCCAGTTATCTCAGCAAGTCAACCCATGGCTCTTCAACACTTCACGTGGCCTCAAAGTCCCCCTAGCATGGCACAAGTGCCGTGGTGACGTCACCGCCACTTACTGGCGAACAACGGTTGTTGTAATTGTGTCTTTGTGCGTGTATGGATAAGTGGGAGTGTGTATGTGAGTAGCGGTAGTCTAGCAGTTATTGCGCTGCACTATGAACCCACCCACTCAAGTTAAAACCTGCTCATGGCATAGAGACCTCATCAAGCAGTGGATTGACAAAGTGTTGTACATGGTACTACATTGGTAGTTATGTACAGGCATACCCCATTTAGCGTTGGGGGTGCGTGCCTGGAAACGGGAGCACTATGTGAATCAGCGCTATACGGGGTCATTATAGCATAGGCACTATGGAGATGCGTTCTTGACATCATAATTTATCATGTACGACCAACACATCAGGGGTTCATTAGGTTATTGGAACAATAATACAAATGATAAACATTATTTATCAATACCTATGGTACGAAAATGTAAGTAAGATAAACAGTGTATTCACCAGTACATATTGTGGCCGGATATAGTGAACTTGGCAGCAATGGGAGACAAGGTGGGAGCTACAACTTGCGCCTGGTGCTTCAGTCAAATCTATGACCAGGCACCCCCCTCTCCCCGTGAGTGGTGCAGTTCAATCTGTGACTTGACGCCCCCGTTTTTAGAGGAAAGTGCTCATTGGTGGAGAGTGAACGCCGCGCCAACTCAAGCATGATGATAGCCCTCGTTCATTGGCTGTGGGCAGAGAGCCTAAATGGGCGTACACTGCTTCAAAGTAGGGCTTTCATCCTTGTGTAATGTGTTTAGATATACTGTACACAAATAACTATTTAAATAACGATTTGCTCGGGAACAGCCCTATAACGAATCAGCGCTGTACGAGGTAGTGGTAAACGTGGTATGCCTGTATTATATTATGAATGTATGTATTATAATATACGTGTATGTTAATGCATGAGTGTTATTGTTATAGTTGTGCTATTACACATATACTGTTATTATCGTTACAACAGATGGATGCTCGCCGACTCTGGACCCAAACTCAGCCCATGACGAACTTCAGACCTCCTCGGATCTCAGGACGGTGACGTGGATCGGTGTCGCCCAGGGTCGCTCCGATCACCCACAACAATTTGATCGCTATTACCAAGTCCTGTGCTCTGAGAGCTTCTCGTCGGGCCAGCACTACTGGGAGGTGGATGTGGGGGCCGTGGGAGAATGTCGGGTTGGAGTCGCGTACGGGACGATCGCACGGAAAGGGTATGGTGATGAGTGCGAGCTGGGACAGAATGACTCCTCCTGGGTTTTATATAAAAATGAGAACATCTGCTGCATGGTTCATGGTGGTGTCGGCACCTCACTGCCAATGAGGGAGCCTCCCCGGAGAGTCGGGTGTCACCTGCACTGGGAGGCGGGGCTGCTGTCGTTTTACTGTGCCGACTCCATGCAGCTGTTGCACTCCGTTCATCACTCATTTAGTCAGTCTCTCCACCCTGCACTGGGTGTATGGGGTGATGCCGATGACTCAGTAAGGATTCTGGATCTGAGTCGTGCATCCTGAGAGCACGGAGTGTTGGTAGCGCAGAGAACAGGCACAACGCACATACTCATGCACACAAGTGTAGCGGCATCGTTGAACGTTGAGTGTAACTGCCGCTGTAGTAACAACCTTGAGCCAACAGGGGGCAGAAGGGAAGCCGATGAAAATGAGTCAGTCCGTTAGGCCAAGGTAAACCCCAGTGTAGCTCGAGACCAGGGGTACAGACCCCAGACCCCCAAGAGGGGGGATGCAGGATAACGTCACGCTTCAGGCCCCTTCAGACGGTTCCAGAAGGGAGGAGAGGCTAGGGGTGGAGTGAGCCAGAAACCGGTGTAAAAGCCAGTCCCCTAAACTGGACCGGCAGTCGTCGTTTACCTGAAGACCGAAGAGCCACCTCAGAGACCTGGAGCTGCCACCTGGAAGACCCCAAGCGAAGAGCTCAAATGGCAGAACCCAAACCACTGGCTAGGGTCGGGACAAAAGCTTAACCAGTGTAGGGTTTACACTATGGGAACCTCATTTGCCAGTAAAAATATGATAATTGGTTTTTTACCCTTCTATCTGGCAACAAAACTGACACCTTTTTACGAGGAGTCATGTTTGCATAGACCACAATACCTGCAGTCATAATGCAAACAAAAAACATAACTCTGATAATGTGCACTGTCCTTGAAGTTGATTGGTCCACACCCGAGATAGCTTTCCTTAGAGCCTAGTCTCACATGGGTTTGGCGTCATCTGGTCCAACCCATGTGAGACTAGGCTCTAAGGAAAGCTATCTCGGGTGTGGACCAATCAACTTCAAGGACAGTGCATACATTATCAAAGTTATGTTTTTTGTTTGCATTATGACTGCAGGTATTGTGGTCTATGCAAACATGACTCCTTGTAAAAAGGTGTCAGTTTTGTTACCAGATAGAAGGGTAAAAAAACAATTATCAGTGTAGGGTTAGAGCTTAACCAGAATAGGGTTAGCGCATAACCAGTGTGAGGGTAGAATAGTCCGGAAGAAATGCCTCCTTAGTGTATGGGGTGGAAGGGGCCATATCCCTCTGTGTTACGTGAATGTTAAATAAACGTGCTGCCTGCAGAATAGAGAAGTCTCCTCGAGTTTTGTACCCACTACACAGACATAATACAAATACCCGCCATATAGCCTTCAACAGACTGTTGGGGCAAGTTATGTTAGTGAGCACTGCAAGGTTGGCCGAGCTACTGGCTGAGGTGGAGGGGGGAGCTCTACTGAGGGGAGAGGGGCTGATGGGAGCTGTGCCTAAAGAGGGTGGACACAGGGTGGCTCCAGTGTTGGTGTACGGTGCTTTTTCTGCAATATTTTGCTGTCTTTTCTTGGATTTTCCGTTTGCACATAGTCACTATAAGATGTTTTCATGTTCATGTTTTTGTTTTTTGGTTGTTGCGGTTGCACCCGATTCAGGAGCCGAATGTCTTACAGGGCTATACCTAATAAATGAACTTGAACCTGAGAGGCTTCTGCTCAGAGGTGGGGGTCCAGGAGCTGCGAGTTCTGAAAGCAAGGAGCCGCACTCCTGGTGGTGCTGGGACTGACCATCAAACACATCGCCTATAGCCCCTACTCTCGTAGCACTGCTGGTGGGGCATAGACGTAGGCCATGGGGACAGCGCCTGCGAGGTGATTTACTGTGCAAGAAACCTACTGCAAGCCTACATGTTCATTTCCTGTTTGACCCCTAACAAAACAACACCTGCCTATTATATGGAGAAACACAATACCATGACTGCTATGTACTCTACTTAATTAAAATACTGAACCTCTCAAACACCGAAACGTCTACTATGTAATGTACGTATATTAATTGCCTGCAATACATTTCCACGTCATAAGCCACTTCGTTGAACCATCATTTGTGGCCAGGTCGCTTCTGAAAAAAAAGTTATATATCTCAAGTGGGCTTTACCTGGTGAAATACAAAGAGTGTAAAGTTTATTACATTTTAAATATTGACAATCATGACCGAAATGGGCTTTACCTACTACTGGGGCATTGGAATGCACTCTCAGAATTCCTTGTGGCTAATGGGATGTGCAAAAACACATTTTACAATTTTATCTCATGGTACAGATTTGTTAAGGAGACATTTCTGATTGTTTTATCTTGTTACTTATATTTATAATGATGATGTTGGTTGTTTAGCATCAACAATGGGGTGATCAGTGACCAAGCACTCGTGCATAATGGTTGTGGGGCTTCCATTCATCGTGCCAGGTCTCTCTCTGCTGACAGAAATCAGGAACCGTCTTTGTCTTTGAAGACATAATTCAATTCAGCATCTAAAGATTTCCACAGCAATTATCGGCTCCTTGATCTCTATTGGAGTGGTTAACCACGTGCTGCCCTACAGCCATCAACTCAGACTCTGATTGGGTGATGGAGCACGAGGTTGAATCGGAATCAGGATCTTATTTTAAATTGGACGAATCAGATGAGCTCTGAAACTCTTTTTCACAATGTCCAGTAGGGGCGGGTCATAGAGTTACGAGGAACACAATACAAAAACCTATAGGAGTGCAAAGTATAGGAAATCTACTAAATATGAATAGAAAATACGTACATTATTAAAGTGCGACTTATCAAGCAAAGGCAGCTAAAATAAAATAGTCCAATATTGTCTGCTGACAGAAATCGGGAACAGCCTTTGTCAAACCAAAATTTAATTCAGCGTCTGCAGACTTCCCCTTTTGGAGTCGACAACCACGCGGTGCCCCATAGCCACGGGCTGGGATTCTTGATTGGCCGAAGTAGCACGAGGTCGATCTCAGAGGCTCGAGGGCCGATATAACGAGAGAGAAAGGCGCCCAGAGGCAAGGGGAGGAGCCCTCGCTCGGGTCCAGCCACCACAGCAGGGCGCCTGTAGCCACCCTCAAGGGACTTGCAGTCATTGGCCCATGGGAGCTGGCGAAAGTGGAGTCGCTCTGCACGTGGCAGAATCACAACTCCGGTGTTTTCCACATTGCACCAGGTACTCGTTTAAGGCTGAGTGGAGCTAAGAGAGGCCCAGGACCGGTTTTAATTTTCGCCAGTGTGTGATGTTACTTTTCTGGCAATATTGGGTTTTATTTCTGGAATTGGTTTGGATTTTATGGATATGTGAATGCATGTGTAGTGTATAGAGGGCCATGCGTGGATATTGTGGGGTGGAGTGGTGGTTAGCACAGTGGGGTAGCCAAGAGCTCACTGCAAGCAAGTACTGGAAACACGCTTCACGTGAAACTTCGGGAGATACGCGCCATTCCCTTGCAGTAACTGGTTAATTGGCTGATAACACCATAATATACAGAGGATTGCAGAGCTAGGGTAATTGTTGATAGCGCCGGCTCACTGCATGGCTGCTGCTATCTTCCTTCTTGTCTGTGGTTGCTCCTCTCGTCTCTGAGTCGCCCTCTCTCATCGAGAGTGAATCTGGCGCACAGTGGCGCCTTACAAGTTGGTTTATTATTATGACTACTCCTTAATGTGAGACAACAATCCGGTGTGAACCCAACCTTGATTCTCAGGTGTTTAGAAATGCATAGATAATTTTTTGACGCGTTGATTATATCGAACCAATTGTGTCATTGCGTGAACGCTAATCACATTGTGGTCTGGTCTGTCTGATTTCTATTTGATTCATTGCTGTCGTGTGTTTTGTTTTGCTTCCTTTATTTTGGCGACCCAGGTCACTCTTGCAATTGAGACTCATCCCTGACTCCTGAGTTTTCACCTCGTTGAAAAACTTAACTTGATCATCAGCAGTATCAGCAGAATTAGTAACATCAGCAGGAGCAACATCATCAGCAGCAGTAGCTCTATCATTAGCATCATCATCCGGGTCGGCTGTGATCCTCGTTTCTTCTTGGAGTTGGGCAGCGTCTCGGCTGATGTTCGCTCGCGGGATCGTGGAGAGGGCTGCGGCCACGGGTGGTGGTGCAGAGTGAAGTGTGCCACTCGCCAGTCTCAGAGCGCCCTTGGGTTTGGTGTCAACGGAACCTCATGGTACGAGGCTGATCGCAGCAGGGAGTTTACACGTTTCCTTGTCAACGACAACCATGTACCGCATCAACTAAGACCTCAACAATGTTACTCGCCACCGACTCGAATCTTGATGCCCTTTCTGGGATCGTGCAGTTACCATCCTAGAATATCACCCAGATCTTGCCAAACGCTGGCAAAGTGTAAAACGAGGACATCCAGAATAAACCCCTCAGGACTCACACATCACACCTTCTGGCTTTGACATTCCTCCTCAAAGACACTCAAGGAACCATCAACCGCATCAGAACATCAATCGGCAGATTTTGACATTTCCCTTCGTGAATAGAACTGTAATAAAGGACTCCGTCACACGATGTTGATCTCCGTCGGTCCTTTATTTGTGTTCATCTTCCGCTCACCCCGCTGGCCTCCTCCTCGGCCCAGCGTCGTCTCTCCTTGCGCCCCGCGCACTCTGCAGCTACCCTGCTGCTCCCTATGCAGCCCCACTGCTGCTCCGCTATGCAGCTACTCTGCTGCCTGTGCAACCTCGCACGCCCTGTGCTAGCCTCTGCTAGCTCTGCAGCTACTCGGCTGCTCCGTGCAACCCCTGCATGCCATGTGTGCCCCGCGCACTCTGCTCTCTCCTCACCCCGCTGGCTGGCGCCGTCCGATGAGCCCCTCAGCCACCAAGCTGAGGCACGGCAGGCACCCAACGTGGTCTCCCTCTTCACTCCCTCGACTCCCCTGATGTCTTCCGGTCTCCTTCCTATAACCCCTCGCCCACGTGACCCTGACTCCTCCCTCTCCCACGTGACCCTGACTCCACCCTCTCGGATCGTCACATCCGACCTGCCCATTTACGCTCGTATTACACCACCCTCCCCGTAAAGAAAAATCCAGCCGTCCTCGGCTGAAACAGGACAAAATAATGCGAGCGAAGGCATCACAATCAGGAGTCCTCCAGACACAACGGAGATTATAACAACAACAACACAAGTAACGAAAGGGGAGGGATCAGGATCCGGAACAGAACACCGGCCTGTCCTCCGCGCAACAACAACAAGAATAAGAATGGAACAATGCACAACAACGGCAACCGACACGCAAGAACGGCCGACGCGCATTACCCAAGAATGTGGTGTCTTATAGCGTGTCCATGTTGATGTTCCATCCGCTTGGCTCAAGTCCAACATCAAAGAGCAAGTGGTAGAGCAGGAATGACAAACGGGCGCTCAATTGCTCCTTTAAGTCCTCATCCAGTTAGCACACCAGGTAACACCCAGTGTGGCAGGCGCCGAAGATCTGTGACGAGAAGGAGAATCCAATCCCCTGAGGCACAGCACAACAACGCACATCCGCATGTCGTACACGACAGCCACCCGGCCCCAGGGTAGTGGTAATAATGTAAATCCGGCCCGCTTAAGTTAAACCCCAATAAATACCCACATAGACGCGATGGATGCCCCAGTATTTACATT